GAAAAAGCTAGAGTAGTGTCCTTGGAAACAGGAGTGGACACACACACACACACACGTACGACTTCATTCGTGCTTTTGCGTTGAGTCGTAGAGGCAGCGAGAAGCGCTGGGGGGTGGTCGACAATGTTTCGATCAAGGCTCGGCTTGGGGGTCGAGTCTTTTTTAAATGCAGCACATTCGAACGCTGCAAGTTTGGCTTCACGTTTGACTGCAGCAAGTTAGTACAGTAGGTCTATACTAAAGATTCAGACGACACTAAACAAGACTTGTTTGCCTTGCTCGTTCTTTTAGTTGGACGAACCTCTGTTGGTCACATCTATTCAAACGATTTATTTGGCCTGGGTCTTTAAAAAATGATTGTGACCCAAAGATACTTGGTATTTCTGGTTAAGAGATTTGGCGCAAGACTAGGATTTGCTATGGGTGTGCGACCAAACCTTCGCCAAGACTGGTCGCCAGATTTGTCCCTTGATTGCATTTTATCCGTGACACCCAAGCCAAGCGCTCGCCAAAAAAAAAAATATATATATATATACATTACACATTCACTGAATCAGTCACTCAGTTTGAATTTCATGTCTTTTTAAGGGTGCATTGGTTGAGTTGCGACGCACCTCGTTTCTTTTTATATTTACGAGACCTGCGTTGTGCAGGTTCCTGACCTTTTGGCAATCTTGGATACACTGAAAAGATGCAATCGTGAGACTTGAGAGACATGCACCACTCTCACCCTCCAAGACAAGCATCCACTTGAATCAGGAACGACACACATACACTATACAACGATACGACGCTTATTCTAGTATATACCCTGTTGACAGCTACTACAAGGCCTTTCTAGACATTATGATATGTGTGAAGTGTTTCTTGCTAAGGTTGACTTCTATTTTTTTTTGTAGACACGTGAATCCTCTGTGCAAATGTGGCATGTATTTGACCGAGACGCATCAACATAAAAACAAAAATGCATCAAGAAATAAACACAAATGCATCAAAAAAAACATGGAAAGAAACGAGCAAAGGAAGGAAGGAAGGAACGAGGCAAGAAAGGAAGAGGAAGCAAGGAAGGAAGGAAGGTAGGTAGGTAGGTAGGCAGGTAGGTAGAAACGAAGCAAGGAAGCAAGGAAGCAAGGAAGCAAGGAAGCAAGGAAGCAAGGAAGGAAGGAAGGAAGGAAGGAAGGAAGGCTGTGAAATTGAAATGCGATGTTGCAAAGCTTTACCCAGATGCCCAGCACAGAGACCATTCCAGTTATCAAAGGAAGATTCATTGGGGAAACTCCATGATATTTGGTTTTTGGTCGTGCCAAGTTACATTGCGGGGGAGGCGCTGCGCCCTCCCCTGCGCCCCCTCTCGCTTTTAATTGTTGAGCGCTTTCATTTCATTCATTTCATTTGTTCATTGACTCATTCATCCTTTCTTCCTTCTTTCTTTCATTTTCATGTTCATTTCTGTGATTTTACTGTTTGTGTTTTTTTGTTATTTTGATCACTGCTTCGAATGGATTATTGTTCTTCCCTCTGCACGTTTGGGTCAGTTTATTTTTGTTTTTCTTGATCGCACTGAAATATGTTTATTTTTTGATGCATTTATGTTTTTTTTGTTGATCCCCCGCCCGTTAATGGAATATTGCTCTTCCCTCTGCACGTTTGGGTCCGTTTACTTTTTTTAATGTCTTTTTTTTAAATTCATTTTTGTTTTTTTTCTTGATCCCCTGAAATATTTCTATTTTTTGATTCATTTTTGTTTTTTTATTGACCCCTCGCCCTATTTGGCCAGTCTTTGGGATCACTACTGTATAGTAACAATTGCTCCTGACTACGGTTGCCGTTTTCCACGCAAACAGGGGGCGGCGGGGAAGGGAAGGATACTGTCAATGGCCCTGTGTTCAGGTTTGGAATTGCCCGAAATTCCAGGAATTTGGGGCCATCCCAAACCTGACATCTTGACTGCTGAAATTTCAGCTCCGGCCTGGAGATGTAAACGACGAAGATGGGGGGTTGATTCAACAGTCAGCCAGTCGCTTCCAACCAGAGAACTCGGTCACCGAACAACCATCGCGATCGGGCTTGGTGCATCACCCAAGGCGCTGAAGCCCTCGAGAGCGTCCAGAAAGAGTCGGAGATGGCCAGGGCCAAAATGAGGCATGGGCGCGAGTTTGGACCGCCTTTAGGTGAAAGGAACATTTGTTTTTCTTGACTTGTCTTTAGAGATCCTTTTTCTTCAATTGAATAGAATAGATAAGCTCGGTCACACTGTGGTACGAGATGGCACCAGCCCTGGCCAGGAATGATGTTGTTCAGCCCATCACCGCTTTGACCAACGCCCTTGATCGACTTCCATCTAGGCCATTGCATGCAGCTCCTTAGTGGAGCTGTTCCACAGCTAGCCAAGAAGTGGCCATGAAAAGCCGAGAAACAGATTTTCCATCATGGACAGTCTCTAGAGAGTGCAGTCTACGAAGGCAGCAGAAAGTGACTCTGTTACGCTAGGCTGGATGGGCCGATCAAGCGCATCTTTGAATCTGAAGTGATGCCATCCTTAGCGCAGCTTAGCCATTGGGATGGTGGGAGCGCTCGTGAAATGGGAATATATATATATATATATCACATAACATATAGTTCTTTCTGTTTAGAGTCTTGTTTTGCAGCAATGAGCAGAATCCTACAATGTCCATTCCTGGTCAGATACGTTTTGCATACCGTCACAAGCACACAGATTTGTGTACGCAACCTACTGGTGAGTTGGAGCAAAGTCGGAGGGCCCTTGAAATCCAGGCAATTTGTTGCAGCTTTGAGCTGCCTCATCATGTTGGGCAGATTGAATATATTGGAATCACATTCTATTTGCCAAGATCCTTCATCAAATGTTCGGGATGATCAAACTCCAATCACTAAAGGTCAACTCACAAGTGTGTTTATGGGTGGGAAGATGTTCATGCAGGTGCACTTGAAGGCTCACAAACTTTGGACAGTTCCATCGAAAAGGTGCACTGCGTCCTCAGTAGGTCCTTTGGCGAACGAGTTGGCCGAATGGACGAAGAATTGAAGGCCAGGAATGCATCAATGTTCTCAATTCATCCATGGTATCATGTATCATTGTCTTTCTCCAATTCATTTTTCTTGAATTCTGCAATATTGGCCATGCATACAATGCAAATCCTGGACTACTGCTTCGTTAGCATCAGCTGTGAGGACACGAAGGTCGAAGTTTTTTCAGGTTTTTGTAAGCAACAGTGACCACTTCCTGCCAACCTGCTTGGCAAGGGTGAGAGAAGGCGAATCTTGTGAATCTTGTGCTTGAGTGCCCGCAGGCCAGCTTTGATGAAGTGAAGAAGCAAAGTTCTCAGATACAAGAACTTCAGAGGCCGTTTGCTGGAAGTGGGCCAGAACACTTGCACCTGCAGCGCAACAGAGAACCTGTTTAGCCATGAATGCTGTGTCCAGAAGAGAAGTTCCCAGCAATTCCCGATCTAAGAATGCTTTCAGTAACAAACCTTGCCATCTAATGATTCTATTGTTGACAATTTTTTCGTGGGATGGCGTGGATAGATCTGGTCCACGCGTGGTCCACGCGTGGGTTGTTTCTTTTGAGCCATCCCTCAGTCGCGAAGGTTCGGGGGCCAACCAAATCTGGGAACTTAATACAGGTCACTTGGGTTGTGCGGCTGATTGTGGCTTCGCTTGTTTGCATCCCATTTCTGACTTCTTGAACTTCTCCGTCCTCCAACCATTGAAGGTGGTGGAAGAATGCGCAATGAATATTGATTGGAGGTCAAAAGCGTGTGCTTCCTCAATATGTATAGACACCTGAATGAAGGGTCCACTTTTGTGCTGTAAGTTGCTGTTTGACTCTCGCTCAAACTTGACCAAGGGCACCAATCCCTGGGCCTTGCGATTCAAATCTGTGCCAATTCCAAGCCGGTTCCCTTGGGCGAGCCGTTTCCGCTGGGCCGATCAGGCATTCGACGAAAACCTGTGATCAACTGCTCAAGAACTATGCGGAGAATACTCAGGTTGGGCCCATTGTCCTCAAGGTGTTAAAGGGACACCAAATCCCCGATGGGTTCCTTGGCTTCTGAGATTGTGCAGACATTTTCGCACGCCTTACACTGTGGCCAGCCTTAAAGGGAGTCAGGGTCGGATCATCCCGAGTTTTCTTACTTGACTAGCTTTGCAGCTTGCCTTAAGGCATTATCAAAGCTATCGCACCCACCCTCATTTGAATGAACGCATTTCTATTTTGCAGGACAGCGGAAACACTATGACTGCTTTCTCAGAGGTTATGAGACCTCCATTTGGATGCTGGCAGGATCAACTGGCTCAACTTCAGCTGGTTCATGCGCAGGTCTTGGATGGCTCGGTAGCCCAGTCCACCTGCAAAACTGCTTATGGCGCCCCTATGGCTTGGTTGGGACAGGCAGCTGTGGCTGGCTTGAGCAACCAATATGTATATATGTATATAATGTTATATAATGTTATAATATGTTATGACATATACAATCTATACACGATTGTATATATATATATATACACTTGGGTTTGGCTCCACACTTCCAAATGTGCAGCGACTTTTCGGCGACTTTTTGGCCCAGTCTGGTTTGGCCCAGTATTGCTTTGTCGTGACTTGGGGGTGAGCAAAAACAACGGGCTGAGGCAAGAAGAGCACTGCGGGCGATATACATCAGCTTTTGCAGGCTGCTTGAAAGCACGACAAAGGTTCGGAAACTGATGGTTTGGTCTTTGCCACAACTTGGAGGCGTGCAAACCTGTTTCATGTTTGATGCCTGGTAGCGTCAGGAACCACATGCCATGGCTTGAAGCCTTGCTGTTGCCTTTGACAAGGGCCAGACCCAAAGCTTTTGCGATGATAATAATCGCACTTGGAGAGATGCTTTTGCCAAGCCTTTGCTGTTTGCCGTTTGCCGGCAACTAAACGGAGCACACATCCTCCCAAGTTCAAAAGTTCAATATTTACAAAGGTGACCCATTAGCAGAGACGCAACAATTGGGCATACCAATAACACAATCTTGATTGATGACTCATGGTCCGTTGTCGTGCAACTCATCCATTTCTGACCATGCTCTGTTGTCGTCGTGTCGTTGGCGCGACCCGCCAGGCGAACCACGACCTGCATGGAGTCATCGAGCAGAAGGTGGACGCCCTGCTCTGGAAGCATACGAAAGAGCACGCCGTCACAGTGGATTTCGGCTCCTTGGAAAGACAAGGATAGAGGAATCAAAAACAAGCATGGAATCTGAACATTTAGGCTTCACCTGGAATAATCTCGCATCTCTAGCACCGTCATCTGGGTTTTGTGTCATTCAACTATGCAATGGATTTTGACCGATCTCACATTTCGAGAAAGATGCATTCTAGATGTATGTGTGTGTGCAGCTGGCACACGTTGTGTCCAGACTCCACAGGTATCCACCCCATCACTGCATTTCAGGGTATGGTTTGACGTTTTGCTTCCTGTCTCATTTACCAATTTGTGCAGTGGCCAAGTGCTTGCAAGTCACTTAGCACAAATTTCACCTGTGTATTCCTAATTCCACAGAAGTGCAGCCAGGACGTTTCAAGACGCATCGATCGAACGACCCGACCCGCGAGTCTCAGGTTCCATGCCGAAAGTCAGAGATGAGGAGTGGGCAATTGAACCAAACTGGCAGGTTCGTCCGAGACTGGTCTGGTAGAAGACTCATCTAGTCCCTAGCACAGCTGACATGCTGTGGCCATTTTGTTCCTAATGTTTGTGGACACAAAAGGCGTAAGGGAATTCATGGCCGGACCTTGCCATATAAGTAGAGGACCTTCTAGCACAGCCATGAATAATTGCAGCAATGTGGCTGTCAGTGCCTATGGAAAAGACATTCCATGACATTCCTACCACTTACGAAACCAAGACATCGACAATTCCCAAAGCCAAGTCCCGTGAAGCCCCCATGAAAGTCTTTCTGCAGGATGACCTTGCAGCTATCTCTGAAGTTACCGAGCTGCTGAACAAGGTCAGCGAGGGAATCACGCTTGTAGCGGGTTGTAGAACAGAGATTGAAGACAAGGGCCAGCAAAGAACTTGGATCATGCTTTGCTTTTCTGTTTTCAAGACTGACGGGATGCCACTGAACAAAGCACAAGAGATCAAAGGAAGCACACATAAATCATCGGTACTACGATCAAGCGGGACTTCCAAGCAACACTGCCAAAAAGTGCACGTGAATGAAAATCATGAATTGAATCACACTTGACACGTTTCTGACCAGACGATGTATATATAACATTGTTGCACATTGCTGGGTACTGCAAACTCCGACATGCACAGGCATCCTCAGTTCTCTCTCTGCTTGCTCTGCTCATGTTGTTGCTGTTGTAGTAGTTGTTGTTGTTGCTGATGTTGTTGCCGTTGTTGCTGTTGCTGCTGCTGCTGCTCTTGTTGTTGTTGTTCTCCAGAAATACTAGTCGTGTGATTGGATTGGAACTGTCCAAGGTGGACTCCACCTTGACGGAGTTTGATGTAAAGATGCAGGCTGGGAGAGGGAGATCGACTGGATTGGGATGGAGAGCTGAAAGTCCAGTTTATTGCTGCCCAGAACTGAAGCTGAAGCAAATTCAGCGTTTCATAGACAAACGGATCCGAGCTGTACCGGGTGACATGGTGTACTTCAGGTGATGATGTCAATGTGACATTGAATGAAGTTGATATATTTGATGTCAGACTGAGTCAGACCTTTATTGAATTTGAACTGCACACTTAGGGAAGAAACACAGAACAGGAGGGTTGTATGCCATTCACTGGCAGGATGCCACATTTGCAACAGTGGATGGTGAAGTAAGGCTCAATGCACCCATGGACAGGCTTGGCTGGTGGAGAGCATGCAGGCTTCTGTTGGAGAAGCTTGGCTTGTGTGTGTGTAACCCTTGGAATCGCAGGGATCCTTTTGCATTGGACTTTTTCCTTTTACTGTAACTTGTTGAGCAGGGGGACCATCCATGTCCTGTGAGCGATGGTCCAACGAAGCGGCCACAGTACATGCGGATATCACGGCTGGTCACCGTGACGTACCTGCGATGGTTTTGAACTTTTGAACAAGTTGTGACACTACTCTCCAGTAAAGGTCTAATGCAATCTGTGGATGTGAGCGGCCGCCGTCACCTCGATCTGTGATCGCCGCTTTGGCTCTTGCGCTTTGGGCCTCACTTCCGTTTGAATACCCCCAGGATCCTTTGGGACTTTACCTGAATTGTTCAGGATTTGGGAAGCCAGGTTGGCGTGTGGCAACCGCTTTCAAGTCAGTACGCATTTCTATAAGTGTGTCTCTCCTCGTGAGAGCCCAGGGTGACCCCACAGAGTGGCCCCTGTGGACCCGTTGAACGGGGGTTAGTCTTTATCTCCCTGCCCGCAGATGTACGTGTCCAGAGCGGACAGCAGGAGGCTTATGCCAGAGTTACAGTACTTACCAAGACTTGATGGGTTATTGCATTCCAAGCTGGCTATATGCCATTACGTGACCGCAGCGGTTCAAGCTGGCTTAACGCCTCCACGTCCTCAGAGCGACCGTAGTACTTTTAGGTTCGTTGGAACCTGTCGCAGCCTTGGGTGCACATACAGCATGTACATTCAAGGGAGGCAGGTTTTCCTAGGTCGTTGGAATGAGGTGATCTTTTGCTGTCCCCTCCATTCAGTTTCCTTTTCATCCTTTTCCCCTTGACACACTTCTTTTTCTCTTCTTTTCTTTCATGTCTTCCCTTGCTTCATGTCCTGTCATCTCATCTCTTTCCTTCTTTGCGTACACATGGCTCGGCCCGTAGTATGTACATGCGCAACCTACTTTCAACTCAGGCTTTAGGCCGCCCAGGTCTTTACAATGAGGGGGGTTGTCATCGGTTGTCCCTGTGCACTTGGTTCCTTTTCATTGCAACCACACACACCTTTGTCCCGTCTTGTCTCCTCTTCATGTCTTCGTTCTTTTGTCTTACTGCGCACACGCTAACACATTTGCCCTGACCTTAGTGCTTCTCGCCTCTCCTCGGGGAGGTGTGTGTGTAACCTTTGGAATCACAGGGATCGTTTTGGATTGGACTTTTTTTAAGTTGAGCAGGGGGACCATCCATGTGCTGTGAGCGATGGTCCAACGAAGCGGCCACAGTACATGCGGATATCACGGCTGATCACCGTGACGTACCTGCGATGGGTTTGAACTTTTGAACAAGTTGTGACACCACTCTCCAGTAAAGGTCTAGTGCAATCTGTGGATGTGAGCGGCCGCCGTCACCTCGATCTGTGATCGTCGCTTTGGCTCTTGCGCTTTGGGCCTCACTTCCGCTTGAAGACCCCAAGACCCTTTCAAACTTTACCTGAATTGTTCAGGATTTGGGAAGCCGTGGCAACCGCTTTCAAGTCAGTACTCGTTTCTATAAGTGTGTGTGTGTGTGCTTGTGTGTTTCTTTGGGGTAATTTTGAGTGATTTGTGTGATGGAGTGAAGCTGCTGTTTGAGATGCAACAGGATTCTGTGTGTGCACTCCCTTCCTGAGGTTTTGATGTTTCTCCTGATGTCCAATGTGTTTTGTTCATTTCCTTTGTCAAAATTTTGGGATTTTGTGCACCAAGGACCGCTCCGAAGTGCGACGAGAGATTGTTGAGAGCCACTTGCAGCTGAAATGGGTCCAAGCGACAGCCTCCAAAGAAGATGTCTTGAAACCATGAGGACGGTAGAACCCGAACGGTTGAAACACGAAGAGCTTCCAAGGGTAGAGCGCACATTGACAACAAACCTGTGCACATTGAACTGATACTCAGGCCCAACATACATATTACATGTATATATATATATGTATACATACATAAACGAATGGAAAACAGCAAGGACACTATTAGGTGAAGGCCATCGCAAGTAGGTTGGAGGCCATTGCTACTAGGAACAAGCACGCTACTAGTAGCTTCTTGTTACTAGTAGTAATGTCTTCCAACCTACTTGCGATAGCCTCCACCTAATAGCGTCCTTGCTCCTAATAGTAATGGCCTGCACCCTAGTAGCGATGGTTTTCATATTGTATTTAATATGGAGACTCGATGGCCGGCGGTCCGCTGAGGTCAAAATGCCTCGGTGCAATGTGACTCGGTCGAGGTGCGCGGTCGTTTTGCGGATGGAGTGACGGAGCGACCAAAAGCACCCATTTGACCACACTTTCATGTCTTTTTTACTAGTAGCTTCTTGTTACGAGTAGTATATAATGCCAGGAGCTACTTGTAGCTTCTTGCTCCTAATAGCGATGCCCTTTGTTCCTAGTAGCTTCTTTTGTGGAGCGTGTGGGGTGACACTTGTAAAGCGACTAATGTTCCACCAGAAGAGGAAACGCTGAACCCTACGTGCTCCAGGTAGCGGATGCCTCAGTACAAGCCGCGTCAGAAAAGGAGCCCACAAGGACCTTGGGATGTGGGGACATATTCCAAACACTGTAAACTATATCTTCAAGTTTCTTGACTCCAGTCTGAGAGATCATTTTGAGTTGATCCAACTAAAAGCTGCCATTAGGAACTCATGCCCAGGGCTTCTTGAAGTCTTGCTAAGATTGCGCCAGTGTGCTGGAGCTTAGTTGTCTCAAATAAACCGTTAGAAGCCTTCATTGCCTCCATACCGAAACACTTAAGCCTAGGCTGACAACAATCCTCCTCTGGCATTCATTGAGGAAGAAGCGACGGCGGCCAACGCGGCCAACTGCACGCACATCACGCGTGTCGATGGTTGAGGTGGGGATGGGAAAGCAGTTGGCATGCAACGCTCAGTTCGTTTGTTTCATTTCAGGATCTTTCAGCCTTCTTCTGCCACTGTTGCCAAGCCTGTGGGCAGACAATTTGATTGTATTGCGCCTGTACTGGATAATGTATATATAAATATACAGCTGAAAGTTGAAAGACATGTACATTTGTTCAAGGGTACATTCTTCGGGGACAGGTTTGTGTAGGATCAATCATTCATAGGTTCTCAGGCGAAGCATCCAGTTCCTATATGCCATGCATGCGTGCTGAACACTGACCGCCCACGCACCATTTTTCCAGATGGTTGCTCCACCAAAACAAAGGAATTCTGTGACAGGTCAAAGACAACAGAGTCGCCAAGCGAGGCAGCCAGTGCAGTTGCAAGTTCAATGTTCGAGCAGGATGTTCGGACAGTATTCTTTTTTCCCGCAGTTTTGCTGCTTTCAGTTGAGATTTGTGCATATAAAGAAGGTCAATCTAAGATGTACTGCCATGCTTGAGTTCTTTCCTGTAAAATCCTACGCATCTGCAACTACATGCCAGATCCCCCTCCCTCACAATCGCCTTAGAAGTTCGAGACAACTGACTGGCTAACTGGCCAGTTTTTTAAAGAAATTATTGTGCCTTTTGTCGTGTTGTTTTTCTTCTCATGCACTGTTTCACCGCCCGTTTGGCGCAACCTGAGATCTAATTCGACGGTACCTGTCGCAACATGACGCCACCATGACAACCGAACACAACGGAATGGGTTCAGTCCCACCGTCCTTAACGGCCGAAAGAGCTGGGTCGAGACAGCGAGGGACTTTGAGTCCATGTGAGTCTCGACTGGGAGGTGTCTACACCGCTCGAGATTTGATGTGTGCAAGCAGGTGTGCCCGTCTTTGCAGATGAGAGGGAGATGAAGCGGAATGTGCGGAACGCCATGATGAAGACCAGGTACAATGTGCATGAACTTTGGCGCCAGTGGACCCTGCTACTATTCTTTAATGTGTATGTATGGGCTTCACTAAGCATAGCAACCGGCTGAAACACACGCATCAAACCGGAAGAGCCCGGATCGAATTGCATGATGCGACATAGTTCAGTTCCATGCAGGTTCTTTTCTAGGCACCACGCGCAGTTAGGATTCTCTGACCGGCTGGTCCTGAGGACTTGTATAGTACTACTGGGCATCTTGGCCATTGTGACGCGAAGTGAGCGTGTCTGAAGACGAGCATGTTGGGTTTGAGGCGATCAGGTGAGCTCGGAGAGCCGGACGACAAGACTTTCACTGGGTTGGTGAGCTTTGCGCCAATCTTCCCTGCATAGGGCGGAATGAACCTTGAAACTGGATATTCCACCTCAGGTGCGCCCAGAAGATCGCCCGGCATCCATACTTTGAGAATGCCGTCTTAGCTTCTTGGAGAGAGGTGTGACGTGGGCCAAGCGGGTGCTGTCATCAAAGCTCAATCGCGGATGATGGCCTCTGTGCAGATCTGGCACTAACACACATCCTTTGCTGTAGGGAAGAGTTCAAGGTTGCACAAGCGCGTGCCGATAGGGTCACTGCACTCGTGTTTCAACTGGCGCAGGACATGCGACAGACAATCACCCAGGGCATTATTGCCTAATCATTAGCGTTGAAATCTTTATATCGAACAACAATCAAGGTGGGCGTGTGTCTTTGTGTGTGTGTCACACTCTGTTTCTAAGAGTTTAAATTTGTTGATACCATTGCAGGGGGGCGTGGCGTGTTCAGATGACTACGCCCAACGAAGCTAGTCTGAACACGGGATACCAGGATTGGCCATCCTGGCGTACCTGCGCTGATGAAACTTTTGCACAAGCGGTGACTCCACTTTCCCTTTTGTTGTTTCCATGGTCGTTCTCATGATACCTCCCCACAAAACAGGTTTCCCTCCGCCGCTTTCAGCCGTTCGTGAGCTGCTGCTGCACTACCGCAGTTTTCCGCAGATGAGAGAAACTCCTTTGTTAAAACACCTACAAGTGCCTGGACACTTCACCTTTCCGTTCCATCACCTTTCTTCGACCTGGGAACTGAGTTAACTGCAAACCCAATGTCAAAGTGTGTGCCGCTCTGCCGTCCCACTTGGGTGCAGGGTGTGATCCCCGTCACTGGGGCGCTGTCTTCACTCCGGATTACCGTTTAACTGATTCAGCGGTTTTCTGCACACGTTGGATTCTCTTAACGGATTTTCGTTTCACCACTGTGCGCTATCTAGGGTAACAGAAGGAAAGGGTACTCGACACACTTGTGTGTCGGTGCCTCTCCTTCGGTTTTTCCTGTCCTAGTTCTAGCTACCCGAGCGGTTTAAGACTAATGTCCCGCTCGCTAACTAGTGCATTTAATTCGTGCGGCTAAGTATTCAGTAACTAATTCTTGTTGAAACCTTCTGTTGATCGGACCCAGCACTTCTTTCCGTTCTCTCAAGTCAAGGGCTAAGTATTCAGTAACTAGAGTGCTAAGTAGTCAGTAACTAGAAGGTTTTGTAACTAGTGGGCCTCGTAACTACACCTATCTTTCCCTGTTGTCCTTTGCGTTTCTCTTTCTGTCTTTTCCTTTCCTTTCTTTCTCAGGCTTTTAGGTGGTTAGTAAGTTCTTCCGGAGCGCCGATATCGGCGCTCTGTGTGTGTGTGTCACACTCTGTTTCTAAGAGTTTAAATTTGTTGATACCATTGCAGGGGGGCGTAGCGTGTTCAGATGACTACGCCCAACGAAGCTAGTCTGAACACGGGATACCAGGATTGGCCATCCTGGCGTACCTGCGCTGATGAAACTTTTGCACAAGCGGTGACTCCACTTTCCCTTTTGTTGTTTCCATGGTCGTTCTCATGATACCTCCCCACAAAACAGGTTTCCCTCCGCCGCTTTCAGCCGTTCGTGAGCTGCTGCTGCACTACCGCAGTTTTCCGCAGATGAGAGAAACTCCTTTGTTAAAACACCTACAAGTGCCTGGACACTTCACCTTTCCGTTCCATCACCTTTCTTCGACCTGGGAACTGAGTTAACTGCAAACCCAATGTCAAAGTGTGTGTGTGTCCACACCTGTACTAAAGGAAAGGACACCATCCCATGCAAGTTAATTCAGGCAGGGGGCCGAAGCCGGGTCGGGGGTCTCCGGCCAATGAAGACACCCCCCACCTGGGTGCAAACGTACCTGCGTTTTTCCAATAGTTTAATCCTTAAATGCTAATGCGCTGTAAGGTGCGAATGCGTGCCCCCCGTCTGCTAGGTATTCAGTAAGGTGGGTAATGCATAGACGGTCTGCTAGGTATTCAAAAAGACGGCTAATGCATAGGGACTGCAGACTTGCACCAAACAATTGACCTTTCGCCGTTCGGTTCACTCACTCTTTTCCTCGGATCATAACTGATTTAGCACTTGCGAGCATCAATCTAACTGAGTGTCGCCACAGAGTCCCACTGCGGGCTGTGGTGTGATCCCCAGCGAGGGGCGCAGCATGTGCACATGCCCTTAAGTGACCCTTCCCGATCCACGGTCTTGCGCTTGATCCTTCCTTGATCCTTTCACGATCCTCGGTCCTGCGCGAGAATGCTGATCATACGCCGCAGGGCTTACTGAGGTCGAACTCCAGCACGGATTCTCGCATGCGGTTGAGTAGTCACATGTCCACGTCAGGTTCTTTCTTTCCTGCTGTTGCTTTTCGTTTTCTAGGTCTTTTCTCGTTTTCTAGAAGGTTTTAGGTGTAACTGAGGTCTTTTTAGGTCAAGCGAGCGCCGATGACGGCTTCTTTTGCCAGTGCCTTCGGGCCAGTGCTTTCCACCCCCCCCCCACCCCACACCCCCTGCACCCTTTCTTTCCTTGCCTTTTTCGTTTGTTTGGGCTTTCCTTCAGGTTTCTTAGGTCGTCGTTTAGGCTCGTCACGCCCTGCCCACACCCCCGCACCCTCTTTCACCTTTCTCTTCCTTTCTTGCCTTTTCGTTTGTCTTGTTCTTTCTCTCAGGCTTGTTAGGCTGGCGCCCAGGCACGTTTAGTCAATGCGCTCCCACACCTTTCCCCCCCCGCGCATAAAAAGGAGCGTGCGCCGATTCCCGGCCTTTTGTGTGTGTCCACACCTGTAGCAAAGGAAAGGGCACCATCCCATGCAAGTTAGTTTAGGAAGGGGGCCAGAGCCTGGTGGGGGGCCTCCGGCCAATGAAGACACCCCCCACCTAAATCAAACGTACCTGCGTTTTTCCAACATGTTAATTCTTAAGTACTCTAAAGGGCTAATGCGCTCTAAAGTGCTAATGCGTTCCCTCCTTCTGCTAGGTATTCAGTAAAGCGGCTAACGCATAGACGGGCTGCTAGGTATTCAAAAAAAGCTAATGCATAGGGACTGCAGACTTGCACCAAACAATTGACCTTTCGCCGTTCGGTTCACTCATTCTTTTCCTCGGATCATAGCTGATTTAGTTCTTGCGAGCATCAATCTAAGTCTGTGCGTGTCACCCTTTGGAATCAGAGGAAGCCTTTTGGCTGTTCTTTTGACTAGTCTTTGCCCATTCATTTGTCAGCAGGGGAGCGGTGCGCATGCTTGAAGCCACCGCTCAACGAAGACACTTCCAGTTTGCCATGATAGGCAATCTGGACGCAGATTGCGCGTGCCTGGGAGCCAGCCGATGATCACCACTTCCTTATAGCCTTATGGGCCTTCCTGGTTGTACCTGGAACAAGCGTTCCAGCCTTTGCAGCCGTTCTGCGCTCCGCAGACAAGTGCTCGCCGCTTGAGCGACTGTTGTAAAGATTTTGAGACTTGGACTTGGAACTTTTGGGTTGTCTTTCGGATTTTTGAACCCTTGAGCATTTGCTGCTTGGACCTCGTTGCGTACGATACCTCGACCTGTTTACTACCTCTCGCGCCAGATCTCGCGTGAAACGCGTCTGACATATGCACGACGCACAGGTCGGTACATAACAGAGGATCAGCCTCAGGCTGACTCAAAAGTCGCGCGCGGGAATCTCCCATCCCCTCGCGAACAAGTTCGCCACAAGTTCGAACCCTTCGGGTGGAACAAAGGGGGATGCATGCTCAATGCACCCTTGGGGAAGTACACGACCACAGCTGCGTGGTTTCGTCAAGTTGAAACTTCCCGGAAACGCCTGTACACATGGATTCTTCGAAAGCATGGTCTTACGGATCAAGTTGGTCAAATCTCTGAAGGTAAGCAAATCAGAATCTGCCTTCACACGAGCGCCACTCGCATGAAACAGAGCTGCAAGTTCACAGAAGGAAAAAGATGCATCTTGGGTCTCTTTCCACCTAAGTCCCCGGAGGAACGTGCAGATTGTATTCCAGTTCTCTGGATGACTCTTCCATGTCTCTGGACATGGGATGTTGACTGGGATTTTGGGTTTCCAGTGAAAGGACGTCACTGGAATGTCCCAAGCCCACTGCGGGTACCTTAGTCGACACTGTGATGCAGTCAACTTGTCAGGCAGCTCCTGGACGCCAGTCGAAGTAGCAGCGCCCGGGTCACGTGTTGGCAACAAAGAATGTACAGCAATTAACCACTTCTGGTGCGAGTGAATGGCAGCAACAAGATTCTGCTTGAAGGTCGGATCAATCGGTGCGAGCCGAACCGCAAGCTCTCGCGTGGCTCTGTCAACGAGTCTGTTGTTAGTAATGTGCCTCAACGTTGTGTGAACACATCTTGCCATGTTCTCCGTGACAAGTTCAATGGGGATGTGGTCATACTGATGAGCAGGGATCCACTCGATGCAGAACGGATTATCAGTTGCCGCGCGTCTCGCTGTAGCAACCCGAGCAAGAGAGCACCACCAGTGATAGCATTTCCAGCCAGGGTCAGGGGAGCCACCCGCAAAGACTTGACTCGCCTGCGTCACAACAGCTGCACAGTCACTGTAAATGGTAAGTTTGGTGGTGGCTGAAGACACCGCAACCAATACCGCCCATAACTCTGTGCAGTACGCGGACAGTGCAAGATGGTTTACTTGCCCTTGGTGAATGACGGTTTGGTTTTCATCCAGCGCAGCATAGGTTCCAGTCGCCAGCCATATAATATCCCCAAACACCAGGGACCCATCAGTCCACACTTGTTGAGTGCAGTCACCGTGGAACTCTGCAGGGAAGGTCAAAATACTCGCTTGTAACTGCAGCAAACGTCGGCGAACAACAAACATCGGCTGATGTACGTGTCCAAGCATAGCAAAATTACTTCCAAGTTCATGGAGCACAGGGGGCCCCACCGAATCACGGATGGAGGAGCATTGGTGCACCAGATGCATCATGGATTCTTTTTCCCCCCCACAGAATCTGCAGGCAGCCGTGTCACTCCAGCCTGTGGCAGCCATCCTGTCGTTGGTAAGGCAACAACCAGGACGGATTCAAGGCGTTGGTGATTGGATATATCGTCGTTGTCACAGACCTTG